CAAAGTGGAGTAACAATGGTGATAATTTGAAGCTTAGTTGATAATGCATCGTCCACACGTGCTGTTCAGTTTTAAAAGTGTGGGAGAGTCAGTGGGACTTACAGTTAGTTTTATCTACTTCTGCTCCCAGTGTGTCATGCTTTGCATTCAGTCATCAGAACTTTTTGGTTTTTCATACCTTATTTTCCTTGCCTAGACAGTTCATGAGGCAGCAGGCAGGTTTTGCAGTAGAGTACCTCAAAGATTTTTTTTTTTTTAACGCTTCATGCAAACAGTCTTATAAATGTAAAAGAGATCAAGTTTTAAAAGAAAAATTATGTGAATAAAAATTGGAGGAAAAAATTTGGCAAACTTTTGGAACTCACTGTAGCTTACATATGCAGCCTTTGTAACACTAAGGCATGGGTATTTTTCCCTTAGTTTTAAGCATGGTGTGTGCAATCATTACAATAATTGGCTAGCCTGGGCTCTCTGAAGGGTGCAGCTTTTCTGTGCTTTGTGTGGCTGCAATCACCACACTGAACAGCCAATCTCTTTGTATTTAGTGTTTTCCGTTATCACACTTGTAAAGTCATTTATAAAACAAAATTGTAAGATAATGCTTTGGACACTAATGCATTATGTAACCACTGTCATAGATTCCTGCAGAAAATTAGCCTTCAGTAACTTTTTTACTGGTAATGGATAGCTCTGTATACATGTAGGATTTGGAGTTAGTTTTTATAAAGCAGAAACTAGTGTCTTACTCATCTAATAACGTGTCCGTATTACTTTCAGTACTTGGGATGCAAAGCAAGGTCCAGTGAAGGATGCCTACAGCCTGGCTAATAATCCTCAGTACAAGCTGGAGGTCCAGTGCCCACAGGGTGGTGCTGCCGTCTGGGTTCTGCTTAGCAGGCACATCACAGACAAGGTGCTGGCTTCTTTTTCTTACATTTGCTACGAGTTCTATAACATCTTCTGTAAATCTTTAAATAGCTTTCTATGTTATTCGTATATTACTGCTTATATTTTCACGTTCAAGTATGTACACCTATGTATACGTATAAATTTTAACTTCAGCAGATATGCAAAATCATATACACAATTGTTGAAATAGACCCAGAGTAAAAACTGAGTGAGATGATTAATTATATTCTCCACCATAAAGGTAATGAAGTAACTCAGAACTGTTGTAAATGAAATTAGTGGCAGTGTGTTTGTTTCAGGTATCTTAGTAAATACAAATACCAGATCATACCACGTGGTGATCGAAGGGGATGATAGAAGGCGTACTTGATTCTGCTTAGGGCATTCGTTACATTCCGCAGAAGTGAACGACACTACTCGATTTGTGTTTTTTATAGGATGACTTTGCACACAATCGGGAATTCATTACAATGGTCGTATACAAGACTGATGGCAAAAAAGTTTACTATCCAGGTTAGTGTACCTTAATTGTTGAGAAGAGGATATTAGAAATACATGAAGAATTGCAAAGGATATTTTTGGAGAGGAAAGGCACTGTTTGCTTTAAAACTAGATGCTTCACTCTTAAGAGGTCACTCTTCTGAAATTGTTGTTTAGCCCTGTTTGACTACCTCTAACATCAGTGAAAGAATAAACCGAGCTGTACGTGTTGGAAACACGCTAAGAGGTCTACGTAGTCCTGCTGACACTTATTTTGGCATAGCATTTTCTTTATTATTCTGCTTGTATTGCAGTGACAGTAGTTAATGCTTAGAGGGAACAGATGTTGTGCTTCTGTTTATCTGATAGCATAATTATTTCCCACGTTTGTGAAATCATTTAAAGGTTTACGGCTTCCCCTACATGAAAATAATCAAGGTTAATTGTTCTATGAAATTGGCTTAGTAAAGTACCTAAGCAAGCTCATGAGGTAGAGCTGAGCATTTCAATGTATTTTTGAGGTATGAAGTATGGAATGCTTAAGAAAAATATTTAGATGTTCAAATTTTATCAGAGTATTACTCTTGGTCATTATAGGTCAGATTCTACTCACCTTGAGAAGAAGGGGCTTGGCTTTTCGAGCTTTGTTGTAGCTGCGAAAAAGCCATGCATGTTTTATTTCAAGACAGGTAACAGATCTGAAACACAGGTTGAGACGCAGGAAGTAAAGGTAATGCCCAGGCTGAATGGATAGAGTAGACCGCAACTTTAAGGTAGAGCTAATAATGTCATAATTTTATTTATTCTTTACATCAAGTTAGAGGTCTCAGTGTAAAAAATATTCCTTGGAAGAATTCAGTGAAGGTGCGTCCTAGGCCAGGTAGGATTTGGCCTGTTGCTTTTACAGATAAGGAACCCCTTTATAGAACCAGGGTTGCATTCAGATAGCTGCTCATGCAACAGGTAATAGCAACAGTTAGAGTAGCTTTTAAAGCTCTTCTACAAAGAGTGAAATTTGTGGTGGGATTTTTTTTTTTCTATTGGAACAGCTGGTAAGGGTTGCATTGTTCATCTCTAGTCTTATTCAGTGAACTCTGCCAACCAATTCCCATAGAATCCAAGCTGTCTTTCTGTGGAAAGCATCTGTTGAGACCTGACCAAATCGTCATCTGTTTTTGCAAGAGCTGATCTTGATAAAGCATCTGCTGCTTCCTACAGCCCAAGACATGCTTCTGGTGTTACTAGTACTTGTAGCAGTGCTTATTTTACACGTGTCTTACTGAAACTGTTCTTAAGTGGGCAAACCAAACACATTAGTATAGTGGAGGGAATTGTTTGGTTGTGCTTGGAAGAGACAGTCTTTCAGCAAGACCATGAGCAAGAACTGGATGATTCATATGTTTTGTCTCACTACCCAAACTCTTTTATAAACTTTAATCTCACGAGCTCAAATGCATTTGAAACCTTTCATGGAAATAGATTGGTCAAGCTGCAGAATTATTTTTACCATCTGTTAAAATAAGATCAGTACAAAGCAGGTTAATCCTTTGGCGGGGAAGCCAGGATTTCCCATTCCTAAGCTTCTCATTGTTTTATATTAATCCTTTCCCCTCTCCCATGTTGTTTTGTGGAAGAAAATAAAAGAACCTCATCCTAGGCTTATTGAAATAATTGGCTGGACTCGTTCCTGCTTCCCTGAAATTAAAAGAAGTCTGGAAAGAACCAATTAGAGGCCAAATAACAAATTACATTGTCTAATTTTAAAAGCAAATATTTGGGATGTTGATAATATGTGCCTCGTGTATTGGTACTAGGATGCAACTATATCTGTGTAATAATCACAAGGATTTGGAGAGAGAAGCAGAGCATGTGTCAGTTAAAGAAATGACTTGAAATGTTTTGAAGTCATGTTTATCCAATGGCCAAAGATATTGGCAGCTTGCATTCTGGAACTGTCCAGCCAATGGAGAAAGGACAGAGTCCTCAGATTTTTGAAGAGTGCTCAAACTTTCCTTATTTTTCTCTTTAAATTTCAACGTAATCACAGTAGGTCTCCTTTGAATAGTAACATTGGTGGGAGACAAATAAGCAGTACTTGCAAGTCATGGGACTTGAGCTGTACTTTCAGGTGCAGAATTTGTGTCCTGTCATGTGTGATGTACCTCTCCTGAAAAGAATAGTTGCTTTTAGAGATTATCTGTCCTTTTTATGGGCAAATCTTGAGGCTCTATTCTTTTGAGAGTGCTCAAGTCTGCCTACAGTCTAACCTTGGTACCAACAGTCTGACTTTCCTGGCAAAATTCACTGATGTAAAATGGCTAAGAAGTTTACTAAGCTGGGGGACTTTTTTGATCTGGGAAAAGTGTTCATCCTTTTCTTTTTCAGCTGATCCTCCTCCGTATATTGATGGTATTCGGATCAACAGTCCTCATTATCTGACCAAGATAAAACTGACCTCTCCAGGTTCCCATACCTTTACCTTAGTGGTGTCCCAGTACGAGAAACAAAACACTATCCATTACACCATTAGGGTATGTAGTGTTGATTTCATAATGCATGTAAACAATTAAACTATAACATGTCCTTTATTTGCAAGTTTGATAAACAATGGTACTTCTGGATCAATAATGTTATTTTGGGGAGGGAGGCTATGAATGATGGAGCAGAACCACTGGATGAAGTGCTTGATAGTGTTCTGCGTTGTAGTTAAGACAATATAGTGTGCGTGGTTTTAGTAATAAAATTTTAGTAATGAAATCAGCTGAAAAACACTTTTATTTCCTAGAATAAAAAATTAGTATCTGTGTATAGGCAAGAGATCAATGCTAGATGTCTTTGTCACTGAAAAAAGTAAAATGCAGATTGTTTCTATTTTGATAAAAACTAACAGAACTAAGTCTAGTTAGTCCCAGCTCTATTCTGGATTTTGAGTTTGATGAGGTCGTCTGAGTAATACAGGCATGTAGTTAACAAGTATCTAAAAATTATGTATAGGCAATTCTGCTTTTTTTTAAAAAAGCCATGATTTCCTATGAAAAGTGCAAGATGAGTGTGTGACCAGCTGCTTCTTTTGCAACACAGGTGTATTCCTTGTGCAAGTTCACCTTTTCGAAGATTCCTACGCCTTACACCATTTCCAAACGGGTAAAGAAATATTTTCTTTTATGGGTCAGTGGATAGTAATTCTGGTTTGGCTTTTCCGTATTTGAGGTGTACAAGGTTTTTAAATAGATTTTTATACTGCTGCTCAAAAATGTCAGCTTATGTCATCATGTAACAAATGAAACTTCTTACCTAAAGTTTAATCTAAGCGTCATTAGCACAAGACCAATCCTGTACTCAAGCTAGATACACTTTACCAAACAATTAGCTGCACTGTTAGCATAATTTGTGCCAACCTAAAAGCCCTTGGGCTGGCTCACTTGGTTCACACCGCTCTGTATGGACAGCGGCTTAGCTTTCATGGGCATTTGGTGTGCAAGTTCCATCTTCACGGCAGAGTGTGCTGTTATAGCTGTACCGTTCCATATACACTGTAAAGCCTTTGTAGGATGGACTGGCCTTTAGAAGAGCAACCTGTACCCTAATACGTAATTGCTCTGCAGAGATCAGATTGTGCTAGTACTACTGCAGAGTAAAAACCCTGCAAAAGCGTTGCTCCTTTTCCCTTGAGAGAATTGCATGATTTTCTTGGGGGAAAAAAAACCTCTTGGCGTGACCCAACAAAATCAGCAATGGCAAACTAAAGGCACCAGTAGCAAGACTCTGACAAATGGACTTAGGATGGTAATATCACAATGCATTATTGTTCCTAAATTTTGCTAAGACATCTCAAAGGTCTGTAATCATTGGGATAAGCACTCACGCTCCCTAACAACAGGATCAAGGGAATATACCCATGGTACATTTCACGTAAAAATGCTCCATGAGAGTACAGCAGCAGACGCAAGAGCAAAAAACTTGACTGCAGTTAAGAAGCCCAGGCAGTTCTGAGGCTAGCTGCTGTTCATATTTCAGCTGTCAATGTGAGCTGCACTTATACCTTCAGCTGAAGTATAAATATGGCCAGGAGCTCACAGGATAATGTAACTTGCACATATTTTCATCTATTAGCAATTTTATCCTCAAGAAAGAATAAGCCAGCAGTTGTTAACTTTAATCTCTGTACCTACAATGCATACCTTGAGGAATCCTACTATAGGCAGAAGTCTTCTGTCCAAGCAGTAACCTCTTCAGGAAGAGAGAAACAAGGCTAGTTTGAGCCAGAGTGGAACAGTCTGTTTTCTAGGATGCTCATGCCTGAAGCCAAGGATTACATTACTCTGGGGTCAGGGGGACATGTTGGCCTGCAGCTAGGCTCTGGAGTTCAGACAGTGTTTCATACCAGCTGTTATTTCTGCAACAGCCCCTTGAAGCTGGCCTGTTCTGGAGAACGGTAAGTGGCTAGAGAGATTCCTGGGAACAGCAAGATTATTTGCTTGGCGCTTCCAGGAACCATTGTCCTTTTTAGCTGCTAAAAACTGGACTTTGTTTGGTGGAATGCTGTAACAGGTCAAAAACTCATCCTGTTTGAGGCAGGATATCTGTTTTACGTTGTATTATGTTTAAAAAGAAATTTAAGTATGTGGAAGCCTCCTGTTATTTATTTGAAGATGTCTGTCTAGTATTCAAATAAAAGGTGTGTTCTGTCTATCCAAGGCCAGCTCTGTCTTTATGATTAAATAGAAAAAGTTGCCTATGCTTATTTGGTGCTTGCTTAGCAGTCACCACACTTAAAAATAAGCATGTATAATTAATTCACAGTTTACCAGTAAAAGCAAGTTCTCTTAGATGTTTTATGCTAAAGTTGAGCGGTCACCTCTGGAGCTCACCAAGCCCTAAGGGGATTCCTGGAACTAAGTGCAGCGGAGGTGGAAAAGGCCTAGAAAGCTAACAGCACACAGCAGTTTTAGGTTCCTGGGTAGCAGTATGGCAGGGGAAGAAATCCCCCTTGCTTCCAAACTTGCCATGTTTGAGGGTTTTGGACAATAAGAAATTAAATCACAAGAAAAAGTGTTGTTCCTTGCTGATTTGATAGAAACTGCAATGAAGTAATAGGAGAAACGGATCTCAGCTATAAATTTGTGTGAATGCCTGGCATGTCTCACAAGTCTAACCTTTCAGTTTAATGACTAGCAGGAGAACTTGCAAACAGATGGCGTGTTTCTCAAAGTCTGAGCAGCATTTTTCCTCTTGTATGTCTTTGTCCTTGCGGAGTCTGTCCTTATGGATATCTTGTCCCTGTAATGCTGGTTCTCAGAGTGAATAGAGGTGAACGGACAGTGGTGGGGGCAGTGATTTCAAAAGGAAATGTTACAGCACAAGTAGTGTTGTTCTTCCTGTACTACTGTTGTTTCTCATTCAGCACAACAGAGGAATGTCTGAGCAAAAAAAAAACCTGCATAGACATGGGATAGATGGGAATATAGATCCTTTGTTAGGTGCAATTTGTCATAGTCAGAAAGAGTCACTTGGTACTTAGGCTGAAAAATACAGTACACTTATAAATGCTCCAAGGCTTTGATTGAGGTGGGCGGAGGACTGCAGTGAAACTTTCAGAATACTTAATACAGTCTGTCACTGGCACTTTAAAAATCAGGAGGGATTACTAAAGTCAGTCACCTCTAAAGTGAGAGGAACGTCTAGTCTTGTTTGTGTGTATAAAAAAGCAATACCGATCCTCAAGATATAAAGTATTTTCTGTACTCTTGACTTCTTCCAGGTTAATGGACAGTGGAAAGGTTACAGTGCTGGAGGATGTGGAAATTTCAGAGACACCTACAAAAATAACCCCATTTATCAATTCCAGCTGGACAAGAATGGGCCATTACTAATTGAACTACGGGGACCAAGGTTGGTAGAGAATAAGCGTGCCTCGACACAGCACGTAGTATTATGTGCTAAAGATAAAGCTTTGTCGATATCCGTGGGCAGGGGGGGAGGCTTCCTGAATATCCAGAAGATAAGCTATGGGAGGTGCCTCAGATTTAGCACTACTTATGTTTCAAACTTCACCATCAATAAAGATTTAAACCTGCAAGTTTGCTACCGAGGAAATCCTTGATCTGTAAGGAAAGCAGGAGCCGCCTTTGTCTTTAGTTTCGGTGTCTGAGCAGAGCCAGGCCTTGCACAGAAGGGAAGAAGGTACTAGGAGCTTCTTCCTCTTAAAACTAATTATGATCATAATTCCTTTTCTTTTGTAGTAGAGCCAATGTGCAGGATACTAAACCCTTACAGGCTCTCAAATAACGGCCCGTGCAGTAGCTTCAGCTCTGAAAGTGCATTTACTCTGCTGCTGGCAGGTCCGAGGTATTGGATGTCAGTGCCCTATGGACCAGACCTGGGCAGGTCAAATTCCTTTGGCAAAATTAATGATCAATCTCAAACTAGCAGTATACAGCGCCTCCAAATAGCAACGTCTCCTGGTGTGCAGTCAAGTGTTTATCTTGTGCAAAGCTCTACAGCAGGCCACACACAATGGCAGCACTTCTTTATCCATCCTCCCCTCTTTGAGGAGACTCCTTTTCTCATGAAACGGAGGTGAGTGCAAAGGTGTGGCTCTACTGTTCCACCAAGTGAGCAGGTTTTCTTGTGCATTTTTTCCTGTGCTTGCAGATGATTATTTGGGTAGTTTGAATGACAGGGGCAGCGGTGCCTGTCACGTGTTAACAGGTAGTAGACAAACTGTCCCAAGTTACATAGTGCAACATGAGAAATTCAGCTGAGATCACTGACATGGATTCCTCTGACAGGGATCAGATCACACCCCAGGATCCGTGCCATGTGGCACAGGAGTGTGTCACCACAAGTTTAACTACTTGAAGTCTGCCTAAAGGCAGAGGCAGACTTCTAGCAGGCATTTTCCATATAGTCTAGTTGAGAACCTAAAACATGTTCCATCTTGCTCCAAGATGTCATTACCACTGATGTCATGGTAAGTTTGACTTAACGTTTCTGTCACAAATGTGACAAAACTTCTAGATGTCTTCCAGTTACATTGTGTAGTTTTTAATAAATAGCCCTCTTCATGGTAATCCTGATGACCCAAATAACTAAAGTAACAGTCTGTCACATCTCTTGCAGGCAATACAGCGTTGGTTTTGAACTCATCACAGTCTCGACAGTAGGAGATCCTGGTTCCTATGGCTTTCAGAAAAAGAGCAGTGGTGACTACAGGTAATATGCCACTTAATGAAGTCTTGGAGGTTTGAAACATACTTCAGATCTTAATTCTAACAGGTAGTTTCTTCTGTCATAGGTGTGGATTTTGCTACTTGGAAGTGGAGAACGTATTTGCTGGAGTTTACAACATTATCCCCACCACGTTCCTGCCTCAACAAGAGGGTCCTTTTTTCTTAGATTTTAACAGTGCTACTCCTCTTAAGGTATCACAGCTGCAGTGAGGAGACAGATCTGTGTGTTACTGCTTAAGGAGGTGGTTTTGATCTGTCCTACAGTCTGAGAACAGGTGAATAACTCTTACTACACATATGCATAAAAGAAAACTACATTCTTAAGTTATAGCCAAAACCACAGAATCGCCCATTGGCCAGTTAATTGTGGCAGGACAGTTAGCTGTGGGGTTTGCTGCTATGGTGTTAGAGTGGGCACTGTTCAACAGGCTTGTTGACAGGTCAAAATGCATATATGCAAATGAACTGGCAGAACTCTCATTTATTGCAAATTTTCTACACTTCAAATCAAAGTCTAGTAAGTTAAGACAAAAACTAAGATGGAAATTCTCCCAAAATACAGGGTATATGGATTTAAGATTTTATTCTTAAAAGTAAACATGTAAGAAAAAAATATTCTTGTGTATTCTGCTTATTCAGTCTCAGGACCAAATAGCTTTTACTACATATTTGTGCTGCTGCCTTGAATGTGTTCAGCATTGAACTAGTTCTTGCATCTAAGTGTAAATTTACTACTGCTGAGCATGTAGTGTTCCAGACTAACGTGCTCAGCTTATCTGGAATATGTATATACGAGTAAAGAACAAGGAAGTTTCCTGCTTTAGCTATTTGTAAAAAAAAAAAAAAAAAAAAAAAAAAAAAAAAAAAAAAAAAAAAAAAAAAAAAAAAAAAAAAAAAAAAAAAAAAAAAAAAAAAAAAAAAAAAAAAAAAAAAAAAAAAAAAAAAAAAAAGCAGCACTGGCTCCAATGGTGTTACCTGTACTTTGAGAGGTGTTATTTCTTATCTATATTACTTTAATACATAATATCACAGCACAAGGTACTTCATGGCTTTCTTCCTACTAGCTGGAAGACCTAGCTTGATCCAGACCAGCAGTAAAACCGGGAGGTTAGCCAGCAGTAGTGCACAGGCAGCGCAGCACACCCTTCCCTTAGCAGCAGTGGAAGGCTTACATCTAAGGGTGCCCGTAAGATTCCATGTCATCTGCTGAGGTAGTCTCATTTGCTGGTGCGAGGAGGTAGAGAACTACCCACCATCAGCATCCCAGCAAAGACGCGTTTTATCCTTGATGTTTTTATAAGTGTTCAGCTTGTAGGGGAAGGATCCTTTAAACCTCTCCCTGTAGTAAACCACAGCTGCAAGAAATGCACTTGCTGATCCCATTATGCAAAACATCTTCTTTGAAAAGGTACCTTTTTCTTTTACATGGAAACCAGTGGATGAATTGAGCACTTGGCCAGTGCCTTCAACAGGAACAGGGTCAGTCAAAGTTCTTAAGGAAACAGCGGAAGTGGAATTAGTCCAGAATAAGATTTTTTTAGAAGCTTACTGTCTGTGCTCTTCCTCCAGAAGATCTATATACATTGTATATCTGAAGAGGATTAAAGATAACCAAGTTTTTCTTTTTAATTTAAATACTAACTGCCTCACTGATCCTAAACTGCATTATTTTTTATCTTTTTACAAATGACAGACTTAAAATGCCACTACATGACAGTTGGGAGAGAACGTGTTTTTAAAACAGCCGTAGGAAGTTCTTTGCCATTCAGGTTGGTTTGGCAGTTTTCCAAGAAAAAATGTAGCATTTAAATTTTATTTTAGAGCACAGGTACCATTTGGTGATGGGGAAACTGAGCACACATGCTTACAAGAGCATCAGAAATATCGGTGGGCTAAAATTACTCCTGTAGAAGTCTGCTATTAGCCCCTTCCAGAACGTACAAGATCCTTTTGTTTCATTTCCTTCATCAGACAGCTGCTTAACAAATGTCTAGCTTTAAAAGGGCACTGAAAACACTTGCCGTTCTGACTGCAGTTCTCCTAAAGACCATCTGGGCTAGGAAATTTGTGACAAGTTTGTCACAGTGTGACTTACCTTCTTTTGCAGAGAAATTTCTGATGATTATTGCGACAAAGCAATGGAGGGAACAGCATGGGCACAAGCTGAACACAAAACAGATTAGGTTCTTTGTGGTTATCTGGGCTTTTGGAGTGTGTGCCAAGGACTGCTGCATCCCTACAAAATTAAAATTTCATTCAACTCACATTTTCCGTACAAGTTTGTGTTAGGTTTTAGCTCAGGCTAAGCCAAAGTGGCAGCGGAGTCCTGCATATATTTTATCACCTATGAAGTTGGAGGTAGGTCGGAAGTCTCAGCTGAGTATCTTTTCGACAGCAGAAAAGGCAGATGCCAGAACTGCCAGCTTTCAGTGCTAAGTTCTTGCACATCCTCTGCTGTTTGAGATATGCTGGTAGACTTGCCTACAGTAAAATCTGTTCTTCTCGTGTAGTTGGTTTCTACTCTGCAGAATGGGATTTTTCTTTCTTTCCCTTGCCTTGCCCCTAGCACAAGGTGTAGTGCCAAAGCTTATTCCAGATGAAACAAGCGTAAGGCTCAGCTTCCATACTGTGCTAAACTAAAAGGAAAGAATATACTCAGTTTCTTAATGCCAGACAAAGGCATTAAGGATAAAGGATCCTGTCCCCACCAGGGTACACTGACATTTCTTACACATACAACAGAGTCAGTGGATTGGGCTTATCCCCATAAACGCCCAGGATTTAAGCTCAGTAGCAATGGCCTTTATAACGAAAGTCCCATTCAGATGTTGCACCTACACAGGCTACTAGAATACTGTCACTGTACGTTTCCCTTCAGGTACAGAACAGAACACTCAAGTGGAGTAAAAGGAAATACAAAATATTCTTATAAATTCTAGTCCACAAATCCTGGTTGTGGCAAATTAATTTCACAAGAAAATTTCCTTACGCTTTTTTCTTAGAAAAAAAATGTTCATGTAACCACTTATAATTTGCTTTGATATTTTCTGTCAAATACGTTTTGTTTTTTTTTTTCCTGACAAATCTGGAAAAATTATTGGAAAGTGAACTGATGTTTAGAGTTTAACACAGCCTCAGGCCAGAATGTAGGTTAAGCTTTTCTTTCCCCTATACCATTTGGTGTTTTTTGATCCATATGCCAGAGAAGATCAGATGCTGATGTAAGCACGGAAACATAACGCAGCAACATATTCCTTTAGAAAGGAATGAGGCCTGTGTGTGCAAAAATGGACATAGCTGCACAGCAGCTCAGACTGTAACAAAGGTACATCGCTCATGTTACTTTACTTCCAAGTTAAGATGGTCATACTCCTCTTGACCCTGAAGTCTTCTCTGCCTATGAACGTGTAATTCAAGCTTTTAAACATTAAAATACAAAGCCTCGTAAAATATACTAACAAGCATCCTGCCCTCCCAAGTTGTTTGTCACACACTGCACAGTTCTGAAGCACATCATGGGGGGGGATAAACGACAACATGAAATCTGGTTGCTGCAAGGGGCTTTAAGAGGAGTTACGCTTTCTTTGATTCACCAAGGGAAGACTACTACAAAGAAATTATTTTTATTTCTTTATCAGTATACTGTAGATAGCCTCTTCAGAAGTTTTGACATTCTCCTTCCTTATGCACTGCAAAGCCTTTTCTGTGTATTTATTTTTTTAAATCCTACCTTAATGCTGCTGCTGATAGCTCAGGGTGAGACACCACCTCAGACACACGCATCCCCCAGATACTTTGTTCGTAAGACACCTGTTAGTCCTTGGTTAATCCAATCCATCAGTTCTCAAAGACTCAAGTGAGAGGTAGTACATAGGTGAGTGGTATCAACAGCTTCTATCCCATCTTCCCCACAAGTGTTGAGATTCAGTCCTAGTTACATGCAGCTGTTTTGTACAGTAAACATGCCCTTGACCACGCAAGCTCTGCGGTGTTTGACCAGCCAGCTATTTAGAATTAAGTTTGTGTACATTTAGTGGAGGTTTTCATGACTTACTCAAAAAAGAACCTTTAACTTGTTTGGTAAAACCAAAGAGAAGTAGAATTCCTAGGTTAGTATTTGCTTTATATGTTCTCACTTCAGGGCAGCTGAAGCGATCACATATACTTTGATACACCAGAGTCTTATTTTTATACCCATGAAGGCAGCTACCATCATGTTACACTTCAGAAGGCAGAAAGAGCTCCAACAGAAAAGTAACTCGAGAAAGCTCATTATTTGCCTGTACTCCATAGCGATGTATGTTCGTTTTAAGTTTGTCATATTTATAATTATGGCTTTTATGAAGTTTAAAATAAAATTAATTTTCCATTAATTTATTAGACACGCAGTTCTGCCTCTTTGCTTGCACATTTGGAGGGTGACTTACCTGCCAAGCCCAGGGGTCGCCAAAGGAAGAAGCAAGATCTTGCTGCAGTAATATCTTTAAACAAATCTTGCAGAAGTGTGGTGTAAAAGCCAGGGTGTGGTGGTTTCCACACCCTTTTGTACTTCCTGATCAACCGTTTTACCCTGCTGGGAGCTGAACGCAGTCAGGACATATGCAAGGCAGCACATGCGACTGTTTTTATATCCTGCTGA